CTGTTCTGCTCCAGCCCAGGAATCAGTCATTTCTCCCAGAAACCCTGGTTCCTGTAGTGGGAAATTATATATGGAGATCCCAGTTTGGGTGCCTGGGGTGCTCATCATTACTGCTTATTGTTTCTAGACCTCATATATTGATGTTTACCTCTTCAGTAGAGCTAATTTGTTTGCTTTGTCCTGTGATTTATAATCCATGAGGTAGAATTTAGCTATTAGTAATTTTCAGGAATTAAACAGTGTCTTATTCAACTAATGATTTGTGTGAAAAATACTGTTCTAAAACCACCTAATTGTCAGTTAGTGTTTATTTTAAAATTATTTCCCTTGGGTAGGGTGGTTTAAAGATTCAGAGTAAAAATTCTTACTTGGCATTAATTATAGTCAGCTGAATTACAACATGATGCAACATGTTCATGTTAAGTATAACTTAAGTATCAAGTACCAGATAAATGGTAAATTTTTATAGGGCATGCTTAGTTCAATAAAACTAGGTTCTTGCTAGGGGAAAGTAAATGCTTTTTTAACCTTTGGGATATAATATAATGAATTACTACAACTTTATTCAAGAAGGTCTGTATTTCTCATAAGCTAGTAATTTATTGTTTCTTATTTGGATTTCCGTCAGTCAGTGATGAGAAATGAAAAGCAACAGCTTCTTTTTTTCTTTTTTTAACAGCTTCTTTTCTGAATAATCTTTTTCTGAAGAGATGATTGAAAGGCCTTGTATTATTCCTGGCTCAAGGACCCATAAACATGTCAGGGATTTTTAGTTAAGTTATTAAAACACTGTCAAAACCTTGAGTAGCTTTTAACTATCTGATATACATTAACAGCTCTGAAGGAACAAATAAATTTTAGCTCATAACCAAAATCCCTTTGACTGCTTTGAAACCATCTAGTTTGTATTCACAGCATATGCCTTTGAAACGTTCTGCTCTCAATCTCCCTAAATAAAATTTCACTTTATTGTGTGTTTATTTAAGTGAGAAAATGAAAGCACTTGAGAATGTTTGTATTCAGCCATACACAGCCTCCTTATTCTGAGCTCCCTAAGGGAAAGGACCACATCTTTTTACTCCCTGTGCCCAGAATTCTCTAGGTCCCTAATATTAAAACAACAAAAAAAGTATCTATGCAAGAGAGGCTGTAGTAGGTCCCTTAAATGCAAGGTCTCAGGTGCTTAATCACTTAGTGCCTGATTATCAAATGCTTTCAGTGATTTTTAGGTGTCTTCAAGGTCCTACTGTGAATATTTTCACAACCTATATTTTGTGTTTTATACAACATGGAGCAATCTCCTTTTTAAAAAATATATTTATTTCTTTTTTTGGCTGTGTTGGGTCTTAGTTGTGGCATGTGGGATCTAGTTCCCTGATCCTGGGCCCCCTGCATTGGGAGCACGGAGTAGCCACTGGGCCACCAGGGAAGTCCCAGCATCGAACCATTGAACAATTTCTGATCTCTGCTGTTCATACTTCCTCTGCGACTTCACTTTTATCACATGAGAATTTTGTATTAAATGTACTTCCAGTAAAATGATTTTTATCGTATACTGTTTCTTACAGCCTTCTGTAAATGGATTCAAAATACCTTTTTAAAAAACGCCAAAAAAGAAAAAGATTATAGCTGACCTCTTCTGTACAATCATGCATATACTAATCTTTGTTGGACTTCAATAATGGTTTGTTAAATATAATTAATAGAACTAGGCCATCCTTTCCTTGTTTCCCATCAAAGTTAACAGTCTTTTAAAAAAAGTATTTATTTTTGGTTGTGCTAGGTCTTAGTTGCAGGCATGAGGGATCTAGTTCCCTGACCAGGGATTGAACCCATTTCTTCCACATCTGGAGCAGGGAGTCTTAGCCACTGGGACCACCAGGGAAGACCCCTAACAGCCTTTATATGGATGAAAGGTAATGGCAGAAGGCTCTTTATTTATTTATTTTATTTATCTATTTTTATTTATTTTTTTCATTTATTTTTATTAGTTGGAGGCTAATTACTTCACAACATTTCAGTGGGTTTTGTCATACATTGTCATGAATCAGCCATGGAGTTACATGTATTCCCCATCCCGAAAAAATATGGAACGCTTCACGAATTTGCGTGTCATCCTTGCGCAGGGGCCATGCTAATCTTCTCTGTATCGTTCCAATTTTAGTATATGTGCTGCTGAAGCCAGCACCAGAAGGCTCTTTAAAAGTATCTATACCTAAACTGCTTTTGACTTTTTAAATTGAGCAAACATCTTTTTTATGTTCCTTGACACTTTTTCCTCAAGTGCTGGTGGACTTAGAAGTATTGGAGGGTAATTATGGAAGAACTAGAACAAGAATATTGACATTAGGTTGTGTCCTATGTTGCTTAGTTACATGATTGATGAGACCCATTCTTGACATGTCATAGCATTAAAAGGAGGCCCTTGGAAAGTACCTATTAAAGGCCGGTTACCAATATTTTGAAATCATATTAGTGTGGGTATACAAGCTATTTTTCACTTTTTTTTAAAACTTGAAAAAATTAGTTTTATTTACCTTTCTGTGAATAGTATCTCAGCCCAGCGAAATTTTCTATAAATGATGACATGTCATTTATCATTTAATTGCTTGAAAAAAATCAAGGTTAAAGCCTTGAGAGGAAATTTACCATCAAGTACATTTTCAGAGTACTTCTTACTGTACCTTTGCTTTTCCTTTTTGAAAGCAACTTTATAGTTTTAAGAGCTCTAAAAGGAAAGGACAAATTGCATTCTGGGAGTTTTAAAAAGTCATCACGGGATACTAAAATAGAAGGCCTCTGTATTTGAAGAGATTTCACACTAATATGCTGTTTGCTTTATAACTTTTGTGTTCTTTACTGTTTAGAAGTATCTTTAACATTTAGTGAACTGAACAAAGAAATAAAGCATATCAGATTTGAATTAATGTAAAGGCTATATTATTTAGCATTTAACTAGTAAGTTTTAAAAATAGTTTGGGTTCACTATGGAAAAAGCATACAATTTCAGTAGCGAAATTGCAAAATACACATTTTTGGAGTTGATGAATGTTTTATTTACTCAAATTCATCTTTTTCTAAGTCTCTTTAAACTTTAAAAGGCTTAAGTAGTTTGTAAAAAACACCCATATCGCCATTCTGCTGCTCCCTCTGTATTTATTAAAGAATGTGAAAAATTCTTTATTTATGAGTCACACAGGACATATATTTCAGACTCCCCAACCGTGAAACACAGATATAGAGAAAATATACGTTAAAAATTCCTGTTTGTTGCAATGTGCGAAACAAGTTTCAAAATATAACACTTTTTATTTTTTCCGCCGTAAACTAATCAATTAGATTCTCTAAACGTTATTAAAAAGAAAAAATTTAACAGTTTGGTACGTGCTCTAGAATAACCCTTCTGCCCCTCCTTTTGCCCACACACCCATTTAGACTGGCAAGCCTATTTTCATTTTATTTCAAAGTTGCCTTTTTTTTTTTTTTTTTTTTAGCGAAGGCAGGGGACAGTGGGGGTTGCTAAATTTATCTTCTTCTCCAGCCACGGGGATGAAGAAAACACATTTACTGCGGGCGGGGGTCTGAGGGCCTGCAAACAACTCGAGCAGGCGCCTGGGCCAGGACCGGCGCGGAGAGGCGGTAGGTCTCCGGGGAGGGCCCGGGGGCCGGCCGCGGCCCTCGGGAGATGGTGGGGGGCGGCCGGGCCGGTTGCGGGCCTCTTGCCTCTCCGTGGGGTCGGCGGACCACGGCCCCGCGCGGGCTTTTACGGCCGAGACGGCGGCAGTGGCGCGTGTGTAGCGGCGGCGGCGGCGGCAGCGGGCGGGAGCGCGGAGGAGGTGGAAAGAAGGGGGGCGCTGTCACGGAGACTGCGGCCGCCGGAGACCCCGCCGCAGCGAGGCCACTGGGCTCCCCGGTCGCGGAGCGTGAGCGCACCGGCCGGGGCGCCAGGGGGACACACCGGCCGAAGGAGGGGGCCTATCTATCCTTCCGCATTTTCCTGGGTCTCTCTCCCGGGCGGTGACGTGACGTGCTGACGGCGGGCCCGTGCCGGGGAGCTGGGCCGCTTTTTGTCAGCTCCGAACTCGGCCCCTCCTCCCTCCCTCCGCCCGCCCCACCAGCCGGAGCCCGGCCCAGTGCTCCAGAGAAAGGCCGGCCTGCAGCACCCGCCACCGTCGCCGACCGCCCGCACGCCCGTCCGGTGAGTTCCGGGCGCTGCCGCGGCCGTAGGGCCTAGCCCGCGCGCAGGGGCCTGGTCCCGGCCTGGTTGGCGGCCCGCGTGGCGCCCTTCCGCGCTAGGCCGGGCGGTGTGGCGCGCGGCGCGGAGCAGGCCCCAAGGAGGCCGCAGTTAGGCCCGGGGAGGAGCCCGGCTGCCCCGAGCGGCGGCGGAGGCGCGCTCCATAAACGGGCGGGGGTTGGGGGACGGTTGCCCGGTGACCCTGGAGACGGCCGAGGGGCCCCGGTCGGTGTCGCGGCCGGCCTGGGGCATCGCGCCGCGGTGAGGCCTGGCAAGGAGGCGAAGGCTGCAGGCGTGAGGTGAAGGCCGCAGGCCGGCCGGGCCGATTTTCGCTATGTAAATATCGACGAGGGGGGGAGGGACGGGGGAAAAGATGGCGGCACCTCGGCGCCTACTGCAGGGGACGGTTGAGGGGGTTGTCGGGAGGGGGAGTCGCCATCTTGAAGGCGGTGTCTGAAGAGAAAATTCCGCTACAGCCCGTGAGGGGGGGTCGGAGAGCGGGCGGCGGCGGCGGCGGCTCCGGTGACGGGTCCCGGAGGCCCGGCACGGCAGCGTGTGCGTGCGGAGGGGGCGTGCTCGCTCCCCACAGCGGCCATTGCCCTCGCCGCCATGATGGGCGCTCTGGCTCCAGTCGCTCGGCGGCAGCGCCACCTTCCTGCCCTGCCTCCCGCAGCCCCGTGACTGGCTCCTGCTTCCGCTGTATTTTAACTGAGTTGCCGCAGGCGGCCATAGCTGGCGCCCGGGCGCCGGGGCCGTCTCGTCCCTCAGGTCCCTCCCCCCGCGCTGGTAGTCATTTGAGGGTCGTCCGGACGGATGACCACCCAGGCATGTGGACTCATCAACGCAAAAGGGACCCCAAGACATTTTTAAATTTTTACCACATCGCAGTAACACATGACTGTTAGGGTGCCCTAGATGCAGTCGTTTTCCAACAATCACTGTCTTCTCGAGTAAAAAAATTAAGGAGTAAAAAAAAAAAAAAATGATAGGTAAGAAGTTCTTACCACTTTTATGCTATAAGGGAAAAAATACAAATTGCACAGTACGGAAACGGAGGAATGAAAAATCTTAAGGAGTCATTTGAATTTCATTAATTCGGCAACAGCTTTCTAGAAAAGATACATTTAAGCTCTTAGCGATCTGTTGGTAGCATTTTTTCCCCCCAGGAGTAAGAAAAGGGCAGAAGTTTTATCTTGTTACTGAAGGACAGCATAAAGTGATGCAGTGCTGTTCTGTACATGGTATGGTATTCAGTTTCTCTATTTGATGTGAAAAACTCTACGGTGCAGTTCCACCTTTTAAGTAGTTTTGACTGCATACTCTACTACTCTCCCGTGAACTCGGAGCCCAGTGCCAGCTGGTGCTCCGAAAGATTAAAAAGATTCTTGTAGTGCAGACGGCGACTCCAAGAAGTTCGTTGTTCAGAGGCAGATGAGGTGAGATGTACTGAGGTGGTGCGGGGAAGGTACAACCAGTTATTGGGGTTTCAGAGGAAAGCAAGGTTAGGTCACATTTTGAGGTTACTGAAGGATGGGTAGGACTTTGTTGACGGAGATGGGGGTGGGGAAAGGGCGTTTCAAGGGTGAACGCTTCTTACAGAAAACAGCAAGTGTGTATAATTTGGCTGGAGTAGATGGTGTAGGTAGAGGAGTGGCGGCTAAGGTAGATGGAGCTTACTTTGCAGGTAGAGAGGCTTATACTTGATGGGAAAGGCCCAGAGAGCCCTCAAGTATCAAGAGTGATGACGCACCTGAGCCCGGCTTTATAGTCCTTGGTCCTTCCGCTGGCCTCAGAAGAGTTTCAAAGTTGAGATATAATGAGAGTAGCAAAGTTAACCTTGAAAAGCAGTGTTTCACTATGGGAATGATTATCAAGAATGTTTGGAAGTTCAGCCAATTTTGCTACTTTTAAAAAATAATCTGTTATAGATAACTGCTCCTTTTTCCTGTCCTAATTTCTCACTTCAAGTAACCTTTTGTTCAAGAGTTGCTATAATTTCTGTAATAAACCAATGGGGAGGGACTTCTAGCTTTTCATTTACCGTGGTTGAACATTACAGGATCAGTGCTGTGGGTTACTTTACCAAAAGGAGGAATGAACCTGTAAGTATCCCCATGGTAATTTTTAAAGAAGTCAGTTTTAATGATGATTAAAAAGGCAGCAATCTTCAGATGGCTTTTTTGGAATCCCTATTTTTCTGTTTGGTAAGAGGAACCACCTTTTTGATTAAGAACGTAACTAAGACTTTGCTAAACTAAGCCTTCTCATGTTTTGATTAATATGTGAACTAGTCTAGATGCACATTTTGGGAATGTGTTTCCTAGAATTTTATAACGTAAATTTATAGGTAGCATAAATATTCATTAGAAAGTTGTTTCACTTTTTCCATTTTTTTTTTAGAGTCTCATGTTGATTGTAAAAGGCCCTGGGTTAGAAACGTTTGAGACAGTGCATTGTAGGAGGCTGACTCTTGAGCAAGATACTAAGGTGGGCTGTGGTTGTTGAGATGGTAAAGGTAAAGGGAAACTTGAAAGAACCAGTTGCTTTGTGTCTTGACAACTGGGAAATCCGTAGAACTCTAAAAGAGAGAATTGTTGCTGCTGCACATGCAGCACAGCAGCAGTGGGTGTTCAGTACAGCAGGAGTGGATGAATACGATTCCGAGTTGGACTCAAGTTGTGTAGTTAAGAGGACAGAAATCTATGGTTTAAAACTGGTGAAACACTGGCCATCTTGGATAAACGAGGTGTTGATTTTCAATTTGTGTATCTTTCAGATAGATGGAAGTTTGCTTTTTTAAAAAAGCATGCTCATAATGCATTGAAGAAAAGCTTTTCTTTCGCATTGCTGTTTGTAAATGCTTCTTTTCTAAACCCATCTAGACTTTTAATGCCACTGATGTCCTTGTTTGTATCATTTGTGTTTGTGTACACTGGCAATTGCAGACTTTTCTTTTTTACTCTTTAACTCCTCAACCTGTCCTTTAAACCACTCCGCCTCAGCAGAGATTGCCTAATCGTTTACTTAGGCCAGAAAGAGAGGGCGATCAGATACAAGCAAGTGAATCCCCTCCCTGCCACTTCAGGCTCTTCCTTTGTCTCTCCCTAGGCTGCCCCGTTCTCTGCCTGCAGGAAGAACTGGCCTCCTTCAGGCCAGACGCTCTGCCGGTGGGACCACCGGTCCCAGAGGATGGAGCTCTGGCAGTGTGGTTCTGCCACTTGCATCGCTGCCATCTAACTCTGCTGGTGCCTTTCCCTGTCCTTAAAAACGTTCCTGGGCTTGCTCATCTTACAAAAACTTCAGCTATTTTCCCTTTCACCAGCACTTTTATTTCTTTTCATCCCACTCTTCCTAGATCTGATACTTCCCAAATTGGGAAACTTTTCCACAGCATGTCAGCAGGTGTATCTCATAAAAGTGTTCTGTGTTTCAGAAACTCTGTGCCTTCTCTGTCTTCTGGCATGGGGTTTTTCTCCAGGTCAGTCGTCTCTGCTGTTTTCTTGAATCTTCTCCCATGGTTTTGGTGCCCTTTACGATGCCCACCCGCTTTTCTAGTTTCTCATCTAGCATTTCCAGTTGCTTATTAACCACCTATATTCAGGTGTCTAACATGGCTGAAACCAAAGAAGCCCAGTACTGTTTACTGGGGGGAAAATTGTTCTTTAAACCCAGAGCCCCTAAAATAACTTCTGCTTCTAGCTTGTTTTCTTTCTTTTATGGCACTGTCATTTTCCCAGACTTATTCTGTCTCATATAGCAGTGTCGGTATGTTTTAATTTAGCATTTAACCGATTTTGTTTTAGCTGTGTATTTATATTTTTGTTATCTTTTCTAAACCTGTAGAGGCAGATTCTCATTTATCCTTGTCCCAGAGCATTACCTGGCACATAGTAAAGACAGTTACCTAAAAACAATTATCTCAATTATTGGGTGCAGAGAATTGTATGTAGTTGGATAGTTTTCAACTATTAAAGTATCTGTCTAGTCACCATGTTCTTTGACCAAGGGGTGTATGTAGTAAGACATACCACATAAGCTGAGTAACCCCCACTGCTTAAACTTGGGGTTAATATAGCCAGTCTCCTCTTATTCCTGTCAAATTATTTTTCAAAGAGCTTTTTTTTTTATAAAATCCAGAAATCTTGTAACTATATTTTACTCAAAGGGAGGTATGTTTTGAGGAAGCTGCATGACCTTGAAAATACAACCATTAGGATAGAAAAAATATTTAAAATTTTAAAATTATGAAATATCTCAGAATTGCTAAAAAGCAAGTATCGCTCAGATTTAACAGATCTTAAATATCTTACATGTATTTGTTTCATAACTTGCTCTGTATTTAAAGAAAACCTCACAGAAAGAGTGCCTCCCTATCCCATTCCTGTCTTTTCTTTGCCAGAAATAGCCACTGTCCTAATACGTATGTACCAGAAACAATATCAAGTACTGCTTTGTGTGTTTTAATTTTGCATATATGGTATCGTACTGTGTTTATCATTTTATATATATTTTTTCACTTAGCAAAGTGTTTTTTGAGATTTTTTTCATGCTTGTATGTGAATCTAGTTTAGCGATTCTCAGAGTGCTCCAGGAATTCCCAGGGATCCTTGAGATTCTTCCAGCCTCATTCTTTTGTGCACTGCACAAGTACTGTACAAAGGCGCCACGAAACATGATGTCATGATAGATGGAACACAGACGCAGTTATGGGAATCCAGCTGTCCTCTATTAAGCCTGTCTTTGAAGAGATTTGCAGAAATGTAAAACAGTGCTACTCTTTTAACAATTTTTTTGTTTTGAAAAATAGTTATTTAAAAATCAGTATTCATGTTACATACAGTGGGTTGATTTTCTATGAACTAATAAATCTTTTTAAGATGTCTCGGATTTAATTTCTAACATAAACATATCTAGATAGAACCCACATAAACAAAAACTCTTTGAGGTCTTCAATTTTTAAGAGTGTAAAGAGGTCTCGAGTCCAAGAAATTTGAAAACCACTGATCTACTTCATTCATTTTACTTATATTTTAATGTGTAAATATACTGTGGTTTATCTATTCTTAGGCGGGGCCATTAGGTTGTTAGCAGTTTTCTGCAATTTCAAACAGTGTGGCCCTGAGCATCCTAAATAGGGGGTGGTTCTCTCTGGAGATTGTGGAAGTCGAGTGGCTACATTCAAGAGTCAGTGCATTTGTCGATTTTATTGGGAATTGTTGAATTGTGCTCCATTTGACATCCCCACCAGCTTTGTATGAGTCTGTTTCTCCAGACCACTGCCAAAAGATTAGACTTTGCAGTTTTCTCCAGTCTTTTGGGTAAAAGTGGTATCTCATTGCTGTTTTCATTTAGCATTTCTTAGATTACTCATGTTGTTGAATTTTTTTTCCCATGTATTTATTGGCTGTATGAGTTTTCTGTGATTTACTTGTGCCTAACTTTGGTCCATTTTTTATTGGATTGTTGCCTTTTCCTCACTGGTTTATGGTTATTCTTTTTATATTCTGAATATTAATAATGTGTAGTTTTACACACAGAAAATATCATTTTCTAGTCTGTGGCTAATCTTTTAGTTTTGTTTGTGGAATGTTTTTTGTGTAGGACTTCTTAATGTGAAAGTAGTAAGTTTTCTCAGTTTTTTCTTTTTTAATGTTTTATGTTTTCTCGTATCAGCGAGAAATTCTTCCCTTGCCCCGAGGTTATAAATGATACTGTACTTTTTTCATATTTAGGTCATTAATTCATCTGGAATTTTTTCTCTATTGTGTGATGTAGGGATCTAATTTTATCTTTTTAATATGAATTTGCTGAGTAGTTTGGCCTTCCTCCTCGCTGATTCCATATATATATCTGTTTCTACTTTCTTCTGATTTCATTGGTCTGTTTGACTATAATACCTCTACCACTCTGATTTAACAATGATAGCTTTATAATTAATAAGTGTTCTTTTTCAGAGTTTTGAAGCTGTTTTTCTTCCTATATTTTCGGGTCAGTTTGTTGGTTTGTATGAAAAATTGTTGGATTTTTATTGTATTTGCATCAAATTTACAGAATAATATATAGATATGCTAAGTAGCGGAGCTGGGATTTGAGTCTTGGGTGTATTCTACTGCTTTTCATAAAGCTCTTGCACAGCTTTTGTTAGATTTTTTTAGAAAAAATTTGTATAATTTTTGTTATTGTGAATATCTTTTAGATATTGTTTCTAGTTATTGCTGATATAGAGAGTACTATGGACTTAATGTATTGATAGTGTAACCTTGTTGAACTTGCATATTACTATATTTCATAGATTCTGAAGTACATTCCCCCCCATTACATCTTACATCTCTCCCCCTCAGAGAGTCACATAGATCTTCAGTTGATAGTGTCCTGTAATCATGGTTGTCCATGTCTTGATGTTATCATCTTTATATGCACATACTTGGTCAGGACT